CGCCTAAAGTCGCGCGAGTTTTTAACGCGGCCGAGTGCCATTGGAGTGACCATTTCAAATTTGATAGAATATAAACATTGTACGATATCGATATTAATAGAAAATCGAACAGGTAGACTTTGTTTTCACGTTTATCAAAGTGCATCCGAATGAATGCGGTAACCGGGATCGTTTTGAAATGCACCGCGGCGAGATGCGAAAAACAACATCACCGAAAATCTGCTATCAAGGTGGAACCGCAAATCCAGCAAAGCCGGTGATCAAACAAAAACGTTAGCACAGAGGAGCACACTCGAAAGACACAGCCGCGTTTGAATCGCGATTCCTCTCGAAGCTGGGACGTTGAATCGCAACGATCACGGGCGCGCGTTCGTTCCTAATTACCTCGTTCTCCGCGCGATCGACGCGGCTGAAAAAGGGGTTCCTATCGCTGCGGGGGAGGAGGGGGTGGTTGCATTCGAAACGTGGCCGGCGTACATCCGGTCGGCGCAAGCGTAAAAAACTTGTGAATCCAGCGGGAAAGAAAGGTTCACGGTCCGTCGTGGAAACGAAAGGGTTGGAGAAAGGGGGGAGGGGGAAAGATTGATTGGCAGACCGGGGTGTACGCGCGTACGCGCGACTGAAAAACAGGGTTTTCGAAGGGAGCGAGAAGGGAAAAAGGAAGGGACCGGAAGAAAGACGGGCAGAGGGAGAGAGCTGGAAAAATATAACCTGTTGGACCGCGAAGGAGCAAGAGCGAGGCTAAACCGAGAGAAGGAGAAACGATTCAACGAATGATAAGCAGGAAAGAGAAGAAATGATAGGCGCCAGAGCGAGACAGCCTTGTTTAATTCAAAGGAGGGGAAGTCGATGAGAGAGGGAACGGAGTAACGAAGAGGAGAACAGAGGAGGATACCGATGGAGGAAGAAGGACGTTGCCGTCCCGAACCTACCTCAACTCCAACTTGACTTTCGCGGTTCGATTCTGATCGGATCGATCTAACTAGCGCGCCACCGAGCAAACCAGCCACCGGTATTTACTGTTGCTCTCTTCGTTGCGGAATCGCGCCCTCCCTCGCACCTTTTCGTTCCGTTTATCGTATCGGCCACTTTCGTCGTCCTTTTTTCAGACCAAATTATTTCTAGCTAATTCTTCCTTCATTTTCTCCCTGTCTTACGCGATATGTCATAATTTTTCAATAATTTTTCAAGAAAAATCGCGACTTATGTCGTGGAGTGTTTCAACCCCGAATGGCGGACCATGGAGAGAGCCCCAATTTTCATTCAATTTTCTATTTCACGTTATTTTCATTTTCATTGACAAGCATACACTTAACTTTAGATTAATATTCTTTATATTTTTTATAAATTTATGTCATTATCAATTCAGGTGCCCTGTTCAAGGATTAATTACGAATTGTGAAATTAACACGTTCAGACCCGAGCAGGTGCAGTTCAAATTAGATAATGAAAGATCGTGAACTAAAATATTAGGATACGGAGCATTTTTGACAAAAATGGCTCTCAGGACCGCATACTGTACTCTGTTTTAAAATTCTATTTCAATGTATCGTATAGAGGAAACATTTGTTGTGAAGCCCTGGCTTAGTGTTTCAAGTCCTTATCTCCCTCTGGGGATCAGATTTCGTGTTCTTTCACGCTCAAGCAATTTTACGAGTTCTTTAAATTTTACCGCCCATCTAGTAGGGGTAGATTTACCTAACTAGGTCAGAACGTGTTAAATTGTTTTGGAATAGGTACCAACAATTTCCTACTTATCCCTAATTTTTTTACAAATTACTAAATTCAAGACCATTTAAATTCTACTCCAAAAAATTAAAAAATTTGTAGGTTTTTTATATTTAATAAATAATTCTGCCACTGGACAGGTAGAAGGATTCGGTTTGAGTGCACCATGTTTTTGCAGGCTTCTTTTCCAGTATAGCACATAACATACGAAGAACTCTTTAAATAGGATGACTCGTCGATACTTTTTTTTCTAATCTCGGAATCGACAGATGTTTGCAATGTTTTTTAGACAATGATGAAAGTACGCAGTGGTACGGTAACATCGGAGAAGCTCTGCTTCTTTTTCTCTTCTAAATGTCTGAGCAAATAATGGAGAACGATGGTAAACAGAGGCAGGTTGAAACAATAGTTTGATAATTGTTATTAACTTTGCTGGATCGAGCGGGTTTCATCAGAAATTTTTAAGATGATAGATTTTCATGCGGGTTTGGCAACTTTGAAAATATTTTTAAGCAAAACAGCGCTTGAATTTGAGACACGATCGTAAGAAAAATAAATATTTCAACATCGTTGGCGAAATTTCACCGAAACTTACACGATTTACAAATTCTTTTTATCGTTCTTATGGCAGTTACGAACAATATTTTTATTCTGAGTGTCAAGAATTCAAGACCGAAAGGGTTAATACGCGTCGAACCAAAAGATTACCCTTTCAATGAAAAGAACCATACAAACGCAGGATTGTTATATAAACCCTTATCGATATAATAAAATAATAATCAGGGAAACGAGTGTCGTTGTTCGAAATAAAAGAGCGATGTTGTTAATCCTAATTGTAACGTCGAAGCAAAACATTCGTTCCGCTCGACGAATCGCGAATGCAATTCGTTCGGAATTTATCCTGGAAAACTGCACGACCGACGGAATTGTTTCAAATTCCGCTGGCAACGTGGACAAAAGGGCGTCGCACCGTGAAAGATTCAAAGGGTTTCGCGCGACGAGCACACTTTTCAGATCGATCATTGTTACACCGTCACGCGCTAACGGGATGGTGTATGGTTTTTGGAACTAAACGCGGACAGCATCGCTGGGATTAATTTATGCAGCTGGACGATCGATGGGCTAATGGAGTTCGCGAAGCTTGAATATCCGTGCAACCTGGATTGCGATACCGGTTCCGACCGATTTTATTCCGATGCTCGTTGGATTAACCGAATGAAAATGTTTTCCTTTCTTTTTTTAAATCATGCTTCTAGTATATGGACGATTCGAGGGTTTCATTATTTGAATAGAATTAGAGCATCATAGTGTGTAATTAACGTATTTAGTACTTAACTCTCGAATGGCGGACCATGGAGAGAGCCCCAAGTAAAAATAAAAATACAGTGATTAGCAAAGATAAATAAGTTTTTGTAATATCCTTTTGTAGATTACTAGTTTGTTAAATAAAAGAAATAATTTACTTGTCTAAAAGTAATTATCTAAAAATTATTCAATATATGAATCGTTAACAAAAATCCTAATCAATATAAATGAACCTTGGATTATGAATCTATGTATAATGGAAAAAGAACGTATTTTCAAATAAAAAAAATAGTTTTCATACGATGTCGCGTTCTTTCAATTTTTTCCAAAACATTTCCTCGAACCCACCAGCAGGGCATATGCAATTAATCGCAGATTTTAACGATGTTTCGAACGTCCACCCTATCCGCACGCCACCCCTAAAATTACATTTCCGCGTCAATTACCTTCAACACAATTAATTAGAATAGATGTCCGCGAACGTATCGAAAATATGCAAATATAATAATAAAATAACTCTCGGATACTATTGGCACCCTTTTAACTAGCTTAAAACACACCGGGCATTAATGGAATTACAAGAACAACATTAAATGTAAATAACCAGATATATTGCAAATTGTGTTTCTATATCTTTGCTCTATTTTAATTTCGAATCGTTATATCTGAATTATTATTAATTGTCGAATTATTTAATAAAATAAGATGCCTTCTTTTCCATTTTTTTAATAATATTCCAATAAGAAAAAGAAAGGAAACGAATCAATAATCGATGCGTTCGATTATGAAGAATTTTTGAATCGATGCACGTGGTTGGTCGTGCTCCCTGGAAACGCGATCCAGGGATTATCTTTCTCGCGAGATATGCACGCCTAATCTATTCGAGAAAAAGAAGTTTGCGCGATAAGTCGCATGTGACAAACTAGTCATCGAATGTCATCGATTTCCTCGATTCGAGCGTCACGCGAAAATCTAAGAATTCAGCGAGTTTTCCTCGTGCAAAAATAAAATTGGAATTCATTCGAAGGTAAGGTAACTTTTCATCCGATTTTGAATATCATTTTCGACAATTTGATATTGAAAAGATAAACAAAATAACAATTTTATCAAAATAACCCTGAAATTTTCATGCGAAGATTAATTAATTATTAGTAATGATTAATTTAATTAATAAAAATCCTCGTCGATACACAGAACTGTCAATATCCTCGGACAAAATGGAGCAAGTCGATGATGGAACTGCGCAAAATAAAAGTCGAAAATAACGATGTAGCCGGCGGTTAATGAGTCAATACGCGTTAAGTGTTACCCTCGCAACTTTTCCGGTACGCGTCCCCTCCGCGAAATTCGTGTAACTCTTTCAATTAAAAGTTTCGCGCGCACGGTTCATCTTCCTCCCGCTGCCCGCGCTCCTACTGCCACGCTCGCTACTCCACTTCGAAAAAAAAAAAAAGAAAATAAAAAAACGCGGAGAGGGGAGGAAAAATTAGAGTGCAACAGAATAATGAGTTGGTCGAGAGTGGAAAACTCGGTTTTCCAAACTCTCCCGTGTACACATCCCCGGTCATGTTACAAAAATTACTCGTCTTTCGATTTTCATTCTTCCGTCTCGATAAACGGACGTATAATTACGCGTGGCAAGAAAATGACAACCTTGAACCTCGAGCTCGTTACCCTGCGACTTAGACTTTGATTCTCGCCGCGTATTCTTTTTCTTATTTCAGAGACACGATCCGTGCTATCGATTCATTCAAATCAGTGTTTCGCTATCGTAGCCGATTCGAGCGTCATTCATAGTATAAACACACGTAGAACGTAAAAATAATAATTGTTGTAATTGTGGGAGGATCGATAGCGCGGATCAGGCCTTATTCGATCGATGGACGCATCGGCGTCTGACTTACGGATCCTCGTATTGCGGAACAAGTCCGATCACGTGGCGATAATGTGGCAATCGGTCGACTCACCTTGTGGTGCTGCATGATGGCAGTGGCCTTTCGCTTGGCGGACATATTCACTCCCGATGCGCCTCGTGTCTTTCTTCTCCTCGTGGAGCGACAACGATGTTTCCCTCTCCTTTCCGCCCCGTCTATGATCCCGGCTTCTCCGTCAGTCTCGTGGTTATCAACTTCTTCCCTGACTCTCCGCTCGCACCCCCGAAAGCACCGTTCTCGTTTGGAAAACAAAAGCAGCCTCGATGCTCTCTTTTTCTTCTCTCTTTCTCTCTTTCCTCGATTTTCCGCCCTCTCCTCGTCGCGATAACGAGACGCGATAGGACCGTTTCGAATAATCTCCTCCGGATGGCACGTTTCCCCGTGAAACTTTCTCAAGTGTTCTCCGTTGTTCGTCGACGATCACCGATTCAGCGGGCGCAGGGAACGCGCGACCGGGTCTGTCCTTGTTCCGCGCGCTCGATCCGCGGCTAACTTCAAGCTCGCGCACAACAACAGCGCGTAGCGGCGCCGCAAACGGTACGCGATAAAATTCCCGCGCGGTTGCCGCAGGTGCCGATGTGGACGGGGAACGGGAGCGAAAGAAGGGCGGCGAGCCCGCACGAAAACTGTACCCTGCCCCCGGCTCGATTCTGTCTTCCGCTCACGTACCTGATGCTCCACGGACGAGCAACTCCGTCTCTATAAAGTCCATCGAGCCAATGTAACACCGGCGGAATCGTGATCAGCTGGTGGATCCGAACGTTGGAGCATCACAAAGGGGAACAGGTTAACACACGGCACACCGTTCGTAAAAGTTCCAAATTGGGAAATCGTCTGACACACTGGGGGCCTGATGAAACGCCCGTGGACACCAAAAGGGCAAGTTCGTGATCACGGATCGAATCGCGCCTCCGTTTCGTACGGTGATGTTCCTCCTCGTGCACAGGTCGCGTGTTCGCGCACGCCGCGAATTTTCAACCGTCGTGAAATCTGTCCGGACACGCTAGCCGCACGATCGTTATTCTACGCCGTCGATGTTGACGTTTCGATGTCGACGACGAGGGGAACCGCGAACGTGTTGCGATAAGAAAAAACCCCGGTTTACTAGTGCGACAGCTGAGAGAGCGTAACGCTCTTAGACAAAATCATAGAACGTCCTCGCATCACAGGCGCTCACGGCAAACTGACGACTGGCGACGCGGCGGCGACCCCCCACCCCTCTCGTTCACCTCACCCTTTCCACTACTCTCCTCACCTCCGGCCGCGCCGCTCCCCCGTTCCTCGCGACTCCCCCACATCTCCTCACCCCAACTATACTCCGACCTCACTCCACGTTTCACCCATACCCCGCACACCCTTCCCGTCTCTTTCTATCCCGTGCTTCGCTACCTTCCCTCCCCCGCCCCGCTCAGCCTCGTCCCACGTTACCCGTCCCCTCGTTCTATCTCTCTCCATCCTTGATGCCGCGCCCTGCTATGACCCGTACCGCTCTCACTCCCCGAACGGTCCTCCTCGAACGCGTCAACCCTCTCTCCTTCATCCCTGGTTCCTTTCGTCTCTCCCTCGCACTCTTGGTTACTCCGTCTCGCTTCCTCACGCGTTCTCTCGTTTCTCTCTCTCCTTTCGGCCAACTGTCCGCCTCGGTCTTCCTTTCTGCCGTTCCAGCGCCCTCGCCGGTTCGACTCGACTCCGACCCTCCCCGCCCCCGCCACCCGGCGGCGGCGGCAGCGGAGGCGGTAAGGTAGGGTCTGTCACCATCGGAGCACCGAAGGGGCCGGTGGACGGGTAACTCGAAAGGGAGAGGGGCGGAAGGGGCCGCAGCACACGAGCATCCACAGCAGGGCTTTCGTAGGGAAGGGAGGAGGAGTAGTACCTTTCGCTGTGGGAGATGGTTAGGGCGAAGGGGGACACCGGTTGTCGAGAGGGGCCAAGGGGCGCCGGTACTCATCGGCCGAAGGGGCTTCCACGGGTGTGTTAGGCTTGTGCTTAGGAGGGTTACGTGCACACCACTGCTCGCCCTATCTCTCTATGGACACGTCTGTGCCCGTGTGGAAATCGTGGACGTGCACGGGATCCGTGCTCTCTGTTGCTTGCCGTCTATCTCTACGACCATCTCTCTCTCCTTTCTTCTATCTATCTATGCCTCTCTTCGTTCCGCATCACTGTGCGATATCATTGGGCGATTCTGCTTGTGTGCGTGGCGACTTACTCGCGCGACCGTTCCACGATGACTCGTCATCCGAAAGGCAAGCCTCCGGTGCGTGTGTTCCGATGGCTCTTTAATGGTCCGTCTTTCGAGTTATTAGCTGGCCGACGTAACGACGCTCGCATCGACCACCTGCGGGTCTGATAAGGGAGGACACCACCGACGGTGTCCACCTTCGACTACGGGAACACCGGCGGAGGGATCGCGGGGCGCACGGTTTTACAACGGCCACTTTGTTCCAGCTCGCTCGCATGGAGACTGGCTTAACTGGAAACTGAAGGAAATACACGCTTCTTGAGCTTCAAAGGAACACCGAGCGGTTTGATCGATGTCGTGTACAGTAGCTGCTCGATAATTTCTCGCCGTGCGATTCCTGCCTTTCTGGGCCAGTGTATACTCATTTTCTCGGATAGATGGACGACTTCCATTCCGCCATTTCCACTTGACTAATTATTTATTTTATTAGGGGCTTCATGATTTATTTGAAACGATTCCGTTTCGCGTCGCGATGGCTTGAGGGCGTTGAAAATAAATAATAATTAAATTAAATAGTGTCTGTGGTATACCATTTTAACCCCCGGCTGACAGACCGCTGAGACACGGGATTATTTAAATTCAATTTTCGACTTTTAAATAAGCATCAGTGAAGAAATTGAAAAATTGCAAGCAAACGAAACGAAATTAAAGCCCCGCATCCCTTTTACCATCGAGATCGCTTCTAATTCCACGGCGTCGATAGGGGTGGGAGTTCCGCCCACCCTTATCGGCCGACCGTACGCGATAACGATCTAAGCAACAGTTTGCCGCGGGGTTGGAAAACTTCGGGACACGGCGAGTGTAAAAAAGGTTGAAACTTTCCGGTGAAAGTGCGATCTTCCGCTTTCGATTCGACTCCCTTCGTCTCTATCGGCGACACTCTCTCCCAGTCACGATGTGTACGAGAAATTCCGCGTTCGATCGCTCACCTACCACCTTTCCTCCCCTTTTCCCTCGATTCGTGGACAATTTATTGACCCCCTGAAACAATTACCTTCTCGATAAAATCTCACTCGATGTCTGAAACGCTTTCCGTTAAGCTTTACACGCTCGTGTAATCCGCGCATGCAAATTCGTCCCAAATAAATCGAACAACTACATTTCAAATAATTAAGACGTGAAATGAAATGAACGGGAAGAAAGTTTCACGTGTCAGTCATGCAGTGTCGTTGATTTTCGTTTGCGAATGCAGTTTTCAATCCAAAAATCAATGATTACGCAGATGCGCACGGCTTTCCCGGGAACATATTATATTTTCGGTACCGTCATGAACTCGAATTTTACCTAAAACCGTTCATCCATCGCGATTCAAACGACAAATAAAAAGTTCTTAATCAATGCCGATAAAAACCACCCCTACACGAGTGACGCTGCGTTGAACTGCAACGAAATCAAATCCAAGAAGCTGTCTTGCCGCCGTAAAGAACCACGAGTTCGTTTTCTTGTTCCCGCAGGAACGTATATATCCGTCATCGCGACGAGACCGACACGGTCGCGGACCTCGCAGCGTGTCATCCCGCGAGGGAACAAAGACTACTCGACCAGTCGCACACCCCCGCACACTTTCAGAAGCGTCGAACCCCGCCGGTTTCCCCGTGGCGAACAAAAAATCACGTTCGAATCCGTGTCTGAAAGCGGTCGAATTAGATCTATAATACCGAGCCAGGCAGCCATCCCCTGAGCCGGCCATCTATACATACGTGTATGTGTCCCGTTTTCCGATGCGACCATAATGCAACGGCTGCCTGACGTTTGGTTCCCTCTCATACCTAATACAACCGCTGGCTCCTGCCACCATGTACTCGATCCATTTGTGCTACTATCGACGCAAGATACGCGCGTGCATTTCGCGCAACGTTACATACACGTATATACGTTATACTTGCATTAGGGCACACGTACACCTGAGCACGAGCGTGCATTACCTTCTTCTGTGTATGTACTGGCAAGCTTGTGTACACAGTGTGTCATCTCGCGAGCGAACAAAGTCCACTCGGCATTAGACACCCTTGGTTTCTGAAGCCTTGGGCGGTAGTCCCCTACCCTTTGCCAGCACCCCTATGTATCTCTCTCTCCGCCCGACCCACAACCTTCTCCCGTGAGCGCAACGACCCTCCTCCCCCTCGCGCCATCCACCTTCACCGCCTTCACCCTAACTCCACCTCTCACTCTTTCATCTATCTATCTCTTTCCACATCGACCCCTTCCATCCCCTATCTACGGGGTGTCCGTCCTAAAGTGATACACTCGCGTTATTTCATAATTATGAATAATAGGAGAATAATTATTTGTAAGGAAATTGTGGGGTGTAATGGGTGGAAGGTTTTTGAGGAAAGAAAATTTCTTTTTATACTGTTATTTTGGAGATACTATTGTTAATAATTTCAAAATGAATTCCTTTTCCACAGATAAGAATTCTAAAATTCAATTTTATTTTTTATCTATAAAGAGTTTTATTTTTTAGGAAAATATTTGTTCTATTTTATCCCCAAATTTTCTTTTAAATCTCGCGATCTTATTGCATGGCAGCCACGAAAATTAGTGTTAATTATTACAATTAGTTTCAAGTTATGTACCATACTGAACGCGTTAATTACTATGAAATAACGAAAGTGTATCACTTTAGCACGGACACCCTGTATGTTTCTCGTTCCCTAGAGCAGCCCCTGCCTGCCAGCTCCCCTATCCCCTCGTTCCGACGGCTCTGCCCGTTCCTCACAGTCGCCCTCGTCTCCTTCGCCACCCTCTCGCCCGCGCAGTGCTCCTTCACAAAAAACTCAAGTCCAGTGTGGGCGCAACGGGAGGTTTCTCCCTTCGCCTTCTTTTACCCTCTTCCCATCGTACGTTCCTCCTTTTGCCTGTACCGCTCCCCTGTCGGTCGACAGGAGGCTGCCCCTCTCTCAGCAACCTCATCTCGCCGTGCTGTGTCCCTTTTCCAAGCCAACTCTCATCGTGCTATATCTTAGTCCGATCGTTCTCTCTTTCCATCCCTTTCCTCCTCCATCTTTCTTCTCACCCGATGCCACACTAAAGTTCCTTCTCTTCTGCTGCCTGTCTTTCGGTCTGTGGCTCTCAACCTACGTCACTCCGATCAGTTGCTCTTCATTTTCGATCGGAATGCATCGAAAATTACGAAAGTGGCGAAACTTTCATTCCCTGGTCATCGAACTGAGAGATCGTACGAATTTTTCAATCCCCTCCAATTTGATTCTGAAAAAAGAAATTCTACATTTTCCTACTATTTCTGCAATTATTATGGAATCACCTCCGGTTGTATCCATTTCGCGCAACGAAACAGTTTAACGCGCGCATTAACGGTGCGAAACAGTCGTCGAAAGTAATCGCGCACCTCATTTTTGACCGCGCGAATGCAATAAGATAATTAGAGAATGCTTGGCTAGCTATGAAATAAGGACGCTGGATCCAGCCAACCGGAGGATAATTCACCAACGTGTTGGCTTTTATGATATCCAGCGTCTTGGTTCTTGATCAATCGTAATGAGATCATTCGATTAAATCCCGATTCGTCGTTTAGACGGTGTCCAGTCTTCAGACGCGTGTCCGATATTTTTGATTATCATTGATACGAAGTCACACCTGTTTCGATTCTTTTCTTACACCATCTGCTTAAAATTTGTGTTTTGGAATCAGAATGACCCTGGTCCAGGTCTAGGTCTCTTCCAAGAAAATAGCAATGTAGAGGAAAGAGATCCCACCTTTTAATTGGGGATGGCATTCTTGAAAAATTAGCTCCTCGCTTAAAAGGCTGAAAATGTATGAAATTTAAATTTACGTGGATTGCCTTCAAAATTCCATGAGCTCGTGATGGAGAGGCATTAGATCGTCATATTCAGTTAAAAGGGTAAAAATCGGCCAAAACCGCATCGAAGGCTAAAATTCCAGGAGGATCCTTTGAAAAATCATAAAGTAACCCGGTCGTATCTTTCAGTGT